TTTTTATTGGTAGGAAGACTTAGAGGAGCACACCCAGTCCGAAGTCTATTGTATGCATCATCATTTCCAGAGTAAGACCCTGGACGTGATACATTCCCAGACGTTTCACCGGCATCGTAGTCGGCATCGTCAATGAGTCTCGCCATTCGTAGCACCACACGACAACTCGTCAAAGAGACAAGTGAAGCCCATCCTTTGACCAGACGTGTGCTAAACAGTTGTGGTCTCTCCGCTTCTGCCCTGGGCTGTTCACCTTTCCAATATCCTCCTATCACACCTACACTGTTACAAGTGTTACCGTGCTTATTCTGAAGTAGTGTAGTGTGCTCCTTTGAGCAGCATTCATGAAAACCCTTCACACTCCACATTGTCTTTATCACCCCCTTCACCCTCGTGCTGGGAATTTCGACCAGAGTCTCTCATATTGTTACGTAGTCCTTCCCTGGGTCCTATCAGAGTCTCCCTCTTGCCCCGTAGAGTCCGTCTGCTATCGCCCTGGTACATGTATTTCACTTGACCCTTGCCCCCCCCATCTGTTCTACTCGAGGCGTAATTCGTCCATTCCCTGCACCTGGGTGATTTATTAGAGGCTAAAGCCTCAGAGTAGGTCTCATGGTCATGCCTTTGCTACATGGACCACGTCTATCGTAAAACCTACTTGCCATGCCCTAGTCACTTGTGTGCCAACCCACAAATGTTGTGGTACTGCTGGTTTTGATTAGGTTCAATGTTGAACCGCAACGTTTGTGGTTTGGCACACAAGAATAAGTGAAATTTACGGACATCGTAAGGTCTACTAATATGATTGTGAGAAAATCCAACTAAATGCTCTCTATCTATTTATGTGATCTAAGATGGAAACAGTTCTCATTCAAGCTCTACGGATAGTTTCGAAACTTAGTTGCAGTAAATATAACAAAAAAAATCAGTCGAGCCTGGTTCATTTTTACAGGAATTTAGTTCCAGCTGTCCTGAGTTCGTTTGAATCTGACATAAAGTTGACGTCAACACCGTCTACAAGACATCCGTTTCTGGTCCCAGAGCAAAACAGGCTAAGCCCAAAATGCTTACTATTATCTGAAAAATCTGTATCTATTGTTCGTTTATCAAATTTACTATAAAACTTTAGCAATTATAAACACACAAATAAGATAATAATAATGATATGAAAAAGCCTCTTCACCTAAATCCTCATGTATATATACAATCTATACCATAAACGAAATAAATAATAAAAACTCATCTGAAACAAAAATCTTGTGCCAAGATCTTGCCATAGTTTCATCAAAACAACAACATAAGAGATTCGAGTATCGCAACGAAAATAAGATAAATATATATATTTATAAATTCTCGCTATAAATCCTTCATCCTAATGCTCTTATTCAAGATCTATGGTCCCTTGAAATTTTACTCAAAACGAATACATATTTATCTCCAAATGTGTGTTTTACCAAAAGAAGCGTAATATTTTCTCTGAAAACTTTCTTATACCCCAATTAATGACCATTAGATGAAAGCCTATATTCTATCTTCATGTGAAAAATAAGTCACCATAATAATAATGCTTGAGGGCGTTCATCGAAGTCTTCCTTTAAATATGACAAAGTTGTGAAAAGGTCATAATAGTTGCCAAAGTGCATTCACTGCCTCTTCTGTCTTGTGTTCTTCCAGCCTCAGATCGCTGATCGAGTACACTTCCGGACGTTTTGCCGGTGTCATAGCTGGGCAATGACACCCTCAGCACCAAACGATCACAGGCCGTACATCAAATGGGCCCACATCTCAAATTATGTTGTCCTGCATCATCCCCCTCCTCCTTTCTAATTCCAATATTTATATGGCCAAGCGTCATTTCCCTCGTTTCTTCAGGCAACCTCAAGGCTGACTTCCACGTTAGTAGGCTTGTCAAAGCCTAGTCGCGTACATTCAGCCAGTCCAACCCCCATCCTTGGCCGGGCAATACTAACACAATTGGTACCTCTACTCGGCCATTCAACTCAAGCGGCTCTTATCAACTCAATCCTAGTACCGTTCTCCTAGCAACCCCTTGCTTAACCAACTGGCCAACCGCTTCTCCTCAATTTAAAACACTGTATCCAGCATGCTCAATGAAGGCTTCACATGGCAGCGCCTAAATGTCGGATTGTGTAGGTGCACCAGTTTTACAGTGGATATCCTCGAAGACGTGATCTTCTCGTTTGCGAACCCTTAGCATTCTGAAACAACGGATGTAGTATGGGTCAAGTTCCTCGTCGTCTATCAACAGATGGGACCAGATCGTAAAAATGGCTTGAATAAACTCACCTAATAATATCCATATGCATAGGTAAGATCGTGCAAGTAGACTTACCATTGCTAAAACTGTACTTCTTGTATTTGAGCCATGCTTAAGGGAAAACAAAACTCTTATACTTCCAATGATTTCGGCAAAAAATTACTTTAGAAGTGAGTAACTCCGGATAAGAAGCAAACTGGAGGGCCATATTAGGATCAGTTCGTCTTAGAAGATGATTTTAGGTCTCGGCTGGGGTATGTCAACTGAATTTAATGTAGGTAAGCATTACTACATGCCACTTTTAGACTCATTGCCGAGTTATTTATGGTCGGGTTCTGATAATCGCGAATTTTCTGCCTTGACGCCACGAAGCAAGAAAGAACTCTTCTAAAATGCTACCTTATGTCAAGTACCAAGGAAGGCAAACTTGAGTATACTCTCCGATTATATTATATTATATTAACAAGAGAACAGTAAAAATAGTGTGAGTTGAGACACCAGGATCTTCGGATTTTGTGAATGCTCAGACAGCGATGTGTGTGACTTTGAATTACAGTCAATTCGGATGAATACAAGTATGTAGAAAAGAAGTGAACTGCCTTCATATCGAGAGATAGATAGATAGCGTCATGTGCTGCACCATAGAGAGAAAAAATATGTGAAGCTGAGGGGCATGAGGCAAACCCTTGGGTAAATCATCATCCATAGCTAAAGCTTCCCCTAAATTGTGATTTGGTGTGAACTACCAAGTTCAATTGGAGGTAGTTAAGTAGGCCCATCGAACTGTGCCTAGTAGAATAAGAATATGCGAACTAAGGAATGTGAAAAAAAGGTTTCATGTAATGTCTAGAAAAGGCTTCACAAAAATAGACGTCATCATTCCGTAGAATTTGAAGAAGGAAGTATGGCTAAATAGGCTGATCCAACACAAGTGGAAATTTTAGTGCATAATTGAATTCATGAAAGATTAGATCGATTTAAAGGACAAGCTAATGAGGGGGGGTGGAAATCGGAGTGGAGAGTGTTAGAGAGAAGAATGAGGGGAAAGAAGACGAGTATGAGGAGATAAGGATGGGGAAATTCAATTACCACGAAGTAGGGTGAAGGCCCTTATTACCTCAGGATTTGGTTACCATGTCAACTGGCTGCAGATTAGGTGTGAGGGTGAAGCGATTGTGACTCATCGCTTGCCTCTTCGCTTAAATCAAATGCATGTTATCAATGCAATCGTGAAGCGAGTAATTGCCTTCGTTTGCGCAGGCCTGGCATTTATGCGGTGCTCGAGAGTCGAGTGAAGTGGAGCCTTCTTCAAATTCGAGGTTAATCAAACCTTCCCCTTTCACTCGGTGGTACCTTCGGTTTCCTAACCCCTCCTTTTGCCTAAGCCTATCCAATAGACACAAGTAATTCCCCCTCAGCTTTATACACTAATTCTCTCCATTCAGGGGATGAGCCGAGATCAAAACGGCAGCCCAAGGCAAGGTCAAATGTAATTCCGTGACTTTGTGAGGTACACTAATTTCAGTATGCGTAACTAAGTGTGGCTAAGTTCTTATTTAAGAATTACCTGTGGCTTTAAGCCATAAACATACTAAATATAGACAATATGATCGAGTTTTGCCTGTTCGGTGATAAATCAATCACTTCGATTTTATGTTTATAATTGTGTAAAAGCAAGAAATAAGCACCTGGTGACTGTTGTAAAATTAAAAATAAATGAAATTTCTGTTTCTATCCCCAACCTAGCCATTTATCATTATAGACACGCAATGCTATTTTAACTCCAAAAATGTGTTGCATTCGTGTTTGGGTGAATTATCGTGAAGCATGGTGTTCTGTTTTGACAATGTCTGTCAAGTGACGGACAGAAGCTCAATAGTGATTCTCCGTGGCCATGGGACAATACGCTGATGATCTATTCCCACAAATCTACACTCCTAATCTCAAGGCAATTTTCCTTCGACTTCCTCTCCCCAGAAGCCAGAATTAGTAATT